TTTTTAGCAAGAATATTAGTAAGAAAGCTTGATATAGAAGGACTACGCTTATATGAGCAAAGCGTAAAGAAGACAAGAGAAATAAAAACTCTTGAAGATGTTTTCAGCTTTTTAGAACAGCAATATCTTGCTTTAGAAGCCGTTTCTAGTAAAAGTGGAAATAGGTTTCAAAAAAGGGAAAAAGGTTTTACAAGTAACTATGTCACTGGCACGAAAAACAATGAACAAATATCCTGTGTGTATTGTAAAATACCAGGACATAAAATCACCTACTGCAAAAACTTCAAGACTTTAATAACAGAGCAAAAGCGAGAGTTTGTAACAAAAACTAAACTGTGCTTCATTTGCATGGAGCACCACTATGGCTCAAAGTGCCATAATCCTGAAAAAAGGTGCATAAAATGTGGGTTTAAACATCACTTTCTGCTACATGAAGACTATAAACCAAAAGAGGTCGGAAAAGTGGCCACAATGGTATCAAGGGAAAACTCACCAGCAGTGCTTTTAGCCACAGCTCAAATACGAATCAAATCAGCTAATGGCGAGCATATTTTACTACGAGCTCTTGTCGGTCAAGGGTCACAAAAAAACACGATTTCCGAAGAGGCTAGCCAGTTACTTAATCTACCTCGAATGAAATCAAAAACCGAAATATACGGTCTTGGAGGTACCAAAGTTGGCGTTTCTAAGAATAAAATAAAAATAGAGATACAGCCAAGATTTAGCAGCGATTACTTAGTGACAGCAGAAGCCTTAGTTCTGCCGGCGCTAACAAGTGTTCAACCCGAAAAGACATTTAAGCACGATATAGAAGAATGGAAGAATTATGTCTTGGCAGACCCTTTGTACAACAAGTCAGACATAATTGACGTTGTAATAGGCAGCGACATATTTGGTTACATCTTGGAAGAAGGCGTTATCAAAAAGTGTAGCATACCAGGGCAATCAACTAAATTAGGTTGGATACTTTCCGGAGCTGTCACAGCAACCGCTGACAAAACAAAATTTTGTCAGCAATTACCAGTATAAAGAATTTTTGGGAACTGGAAGAGGTCCCAACTGAAGACGAGTTGTGTCTAAAAATTTATAAAGACACTACCACACTAGATGGAAAGGGAAGGATTACCGTTAAGATATCTTTCAAAGAAGACTGCCCTTTGGGAGGATCCAGGAAGCAAGCTGTGGCACGTTTTCTTTCACTGGAAAAAAGGATGGCTCAAGATGTCAACTTGAAAAATGAATACACCAAATTCATCGACGAATACCAGAAACTGGGACATATGGTAAGAATATTTGATGAAAGGGACTACAAATATTATCTTCCCCACCAAGCTGTTATTCGCGAAAGCAGTACCACAACGAAACTGAGGGTGGTATTCGACGCATCAGCCAAAACATCGAACGGGAGAAGCCTTAACGATGTAATGTACACGGGACCCAAATTACAAAAAGATATTTTTGACATAATTTTAAAATGGAGATTGTGGAAATTTGTAGTGACAGCAGACGTTGAAAAAATGTTCCGTCAAATTCGAGTTTTTAAAGAAGATCAACAGTATCAAAACATACTGTGGAGAAATGACAGTAAAAAGCCATTAACAGTGTTCAGGTTAACTACTGTTACTTACGGGACAGCTTCAGCATCTTTTTTGGCAGTACGAGCTGCGGACTGCAATGAAAAAAGAGTGAAGAAAGTTATCGAGGAAGATTTTTACATGGATGACCTCATAACCGGAGCAGATAGTGTACAAGAGTGAAGTGAAATTAAACAAGTTGAGCAACAATTAATGAAGTTTGGTTTTCATTTAAGAAAATGGCTCACGAATAATTCTTCGGTACTGGAAGATAGAATGGAACAGCGCAGTGAAGAAAATTATTTGATAAAAAGTGATGAAATCGTGAAAACTTTGGGACTTAAATGGGATCCTAAAAAAGATGAACTCAAGTTCGAAATCAACCTGAAAGAGAGCAAGAAGATCACAAAACGACAAATATTGTCAAACTTAGCCACCATATTCGATCCACTTGGGTGGCTATCCCCAATAACTATTGTGTTAAAAATATTTATTCAAAAGCTTTGGACCCAGAAGCTTACTTGGGATGAAGAATTATCAGCCGAGTTAAAAACGGAATGGTTTGAATTTACAAAAATATAAGTGCACTGTGTAATATAAAAATCCCTAGATGGATGAAAACATCTCAAATGATGGATGCAGAGCTGCGCGGTTTTGCAGATGCATCAGAAAAAGCATATGCAGCAGTAGTGTACATTAAATGTGATGGGGAAATAACCATTGTAGCAGCAAAAAGTAAAGTGAATCCGATAAAAAATAGGAAAACTTTGCTTAAACTAGAGCTTTGTGCAGCTCACCTATTATCAAAATTATTACATCGAATGTTAATCACGATTAAGCAAAAGACGAAAATCTATACATGGAGCGATTCTACTATTACTTTAAGTTGGATAGAAACCAACAAAAGTAAAGACAAATTTATTCGAACTAGAGTCAGCGACATTAAGAATTTGATTCCAAGTGCAAAATGGAATCATGTAATTTCTAAAGAAAATCCAGCAGATGTAGCATCGAGAGGAATTCCTCCCTATAAATTACAAATACACAAATTGTGGGGGAATGGTCCAGACTGGTTGAAAGAATCAGAAGATAAGTGGCCCCAATCAATCAGCGAGAAGACAACATGCGCGGTAACTGCAGTGAGTAAAATTAATGAACAGCATCCTCTAGAGTCTCTTACAGAAAAATACTCCAGTTTTTCAAAACTAATTAGAGTGTTTGCCTATGTATTGCGTTTTAAAAATAAACTGAGAAAAACGAAATTACATTCGCAATATTTATCATCAGAAGATTTAAAAACGGCACAAATGGAACTAATCAAAAGGCATCAGCATAAAGAATTTGAAAATGAATTTCAAAAACTTCTGACAAAAAGAAAATATAAAGCATTGCAGTAAGTTATCAAACTTGTATCCATTTATAGATGGCGAGGGTGTGTTACGAGTAGGCGGTAGGCTGAGGAACTCAAATATATCGTATGAGCAAAAACATCCAGCAATTATTAATAAATCGCACTTACCAGAGTTAATTGTTATGGATGCACATAACAAAACATTGCATGGTGGTAGCCAATTAGTAGAAGCAGCGGTAAGAAGAAAGTACTGGGTATTAAATCTAAAAAAAGAAATTAAAAAATGTATTCGAAATTGCGTGAAATGCATTAGATATCGACAAGAAACTGCTCATCAAATAATGGGAAACCTACCTGAGATGAGAGTTACGCAGTCTTCATCTTTTATATAGAGGTATTAAAGCATATAAAGCAGTCATGCCCAGCGCAGGGCACTTGCATATGGAATTCTGCCAGCGCAGGGCACTTGCTTATGGAGTTCTGCCGACGTTGGGCATGACTGATATAAAGGCAACATTGCAATATTTGTGTGTATGGCAACTAAGGCTATACATTTAGAAGCAGTATCGGATCTAACGACAGAAGCCTTCTTAGCAGCTTTGAGAAGATTTTTTTCTAGAAGAGGAAAAAGCTCTCACATATATTCCGACAATGGAACGGATTTCATCGGAGCAAATCGAAGCATAGAGTCTCAATTTAAAACCGCTCTTAAAAACAACTGTTCTGTAGCCCCGATATTAGCAAATGAAAAGATTGAAAGGCATTTTATCCCGCCGGCAAGTCCTCACTTCGGAGGTATTTGGGAAGCAGGTGTAAAATCCGTAAAACACCGTGATTGGTGAAACCAAATTGACCTTCGAAGAAATGTCAACGTTGTTATGCCAAATAGAATCGGTACTTAATTCACGACCGTTGTATACGCTGGGATCTGAAATAGAAGACAACACGTTCTTACGCCTGGGCATTTCCTTATTGGCAGACCGCTTTTGGATATTCCAGAAGTTGCGCCAGATGTGGAAAAGATCGGAGCTTTAGACCGTTGGAAAATCATTCAGAAATTGAAGAGAGACTTTTGGAATAATAGAAAATATGAATATCTTGTAACACTGCAAAAGCGAAATAAATTGAAAGTCGACCATTTAAACATAAAAGTAGGCCAAATAGTAATATTAAAAAATGAAAACACACCCCCATCAAGATGGCCTTTGGGTAAAGTAACACAAGTACACAAAGGTACACATTATAAAGTCCGCGTAGCTACAATAAAAACAAGTGATGGAACTATTCAAAGATCAATACAAAATCTGTATCCATTACATTGTATTGAAGATGGCGAAAAGGGTACTCTAAATGAAAAAGTGAAATCTTACTATACTTTCAATCTTCCAATAATAATTTAACAAGATCTAAATGGTCAGTAGCTGAAATGTTGCAAGTATTTTTGGTACTTATTGTAAAACTTCTTAATATAAAAGGAGAAGCAACAGCAAGTACAAATTTCATCACACAAACGAGCCTTTCAAATAGTTCAGCCGTATACTTGGACTCTTATGGTAGAGTAGATGTCATAGCTTCTCGTTGGAACTTGGTAATATACTACAATCTCGAATCTTATTTCAAAGAAATTGAAACCATGCCAATTTACGTAAAGCAAATAAAGGACTTATGTCCAAAAATTCTTTACTTTAGCGAACAATGTGAAATAGTAGCAAAAAATGTAAATAGTAAATATGAACTACTAAAATCGAACAACCAGCTTCTTATTTACACAAAAAGAGCCAAAAGAGCGCCGTTAGAAATCATAGGCTCTCTTTATCACTTACTCTTTGGACTAATGGACAGTGATGATAGAGAAATAATGGAGCTAAATATGAATAAGGTCAATATTATTTGAAAACCAAAATGACATTGAAAGCATGATTAAAAAGCAAACCTCACTAATCGACGGTACACTCAACGTCCTCAGAAAAACTACAACAGATGTCAATAATCAATTTACTAAAATCGACAATCAAATAAATAACATCCAAAATTTAACGGCAAATTACTTCAACAACTATAGATTCTCAACGTCATTTCAGTTAATCACCATGCAGTTACAAACGATATTAAATGAGTGTGAAAAAACACAGACAGCAATAATAAATATGCTCATTGATCACCAGCGAATAAATCCATCCCTAATCAAACCATCTCAGTTTGTTAAAGAAATTCAAAAGATAAAGTTCAAGTTGCCATCAACATTTAAATTACCCGGCGAAGGGGACAATGAACTTAAAGAAGTCTTTAAGACTATGACTGCGAAGGGAATGATTGTAGACAACAAGTTAGTAATTAACGCAGAAATACCTTTACTACAATCCCAAATGCCAGAAGTCTTCAGATTAATCGCAATACCAATAAGCAAACGAAATATGACTGTAGTAGCTAAGCTTAAATCAGAGTTACTAATTTTCAATTTCGAATTTGATTCATATTTTTCATTAAGTCAAGCGCAACTAAATAAATGTCGTAAAACCAATAGCGACCATTACGTTTGCTACGGAGATTGGCCTTGGGCCTCAGCTACCGATAACTCGTGCGAAGTATCTGCTATCAAACACACGAAGGCTGCCAACTGCATGTTCCAACAAATCCAAAACGACGATTTTTGGGTTGAATTGCATAAGCCCAATACCTGGATTTTTAAGCTTTACAACACAGTGAAAGTTAGCGTGAACTGTGGTCAATCAGCTGCAAAGTGGATAAGTTTGTCACCTCAGGGAATTCTTACCTTAAATCCTGGGTGCAGCTTGAGGTACAACGGAGGGTTTTTAACATCTTCATCCATCACGTCATCTGAAGCATACTTCGACCCACAAACAACTTGGATAACAACCATCGATGTCATAGAAGATGAAAAGGTTAAGCTTTCCATTCGTCAACAATCAATCATCAACAAGAACTCCGCAGCTTACAACATAGCTTAGGTGAGTTTAAGAAGCAGCGATTGAAGTTAAGGGGATTAGACTTCCATTACCTGACAGGTCACACATCTTTAATACTATGTATAGTAATTATTATTATTTTATTAGTAGTTTACGTGAAATTCATGCGGAAGAAAACAACCAATTTAAACATTCAATTTGAATCTCCCACCAGTATTGGCCGCCCGCAAAATGTTCAATTGTAAAATAAATTGAACATGTTTAGTATACATTCCATAAATAATCACTTTTTTGCCCTCGGCAATATGTTCAAACATCTTTGAACATGTATGCATACATACATACATCTCCCAGAGTAATAAAATTGAACATAAAAAAATATGCGTGCAATAATACTTTTTGGCACATAGAAAATACAGTCCACTTTAGAATAGAAGATAAGTAAAATACATAAACATGAGAAATGAATAAAAACCCATAAATTGAAACACATTTAACTGTCAATATTTTGTACACAACCGAAATAAGATATCAATGCGTTGATCTCTTTTAATCTAATGTTCGCGCATACAAATGCATACACCCATACATGCATTAGAAAATGCATTGATATTATTTGCATGTATACATATAGCCGACACAAATGCAAGCATTAAAATTAAAATTATGATAAGACCAAAGCGTTGGTTTGTAAAAAGTACATATCAAAGCAACATGTACATACACACACACACACGTACATATGTATTTACAATTAGTTAAGGAAAATAGAATTAGAATTTGTATATAAAAGGAAAATATTTAATAAACAGATCAGAGTCGCAAAGACTCTCAATAACACTCTTCTTCTTCTTCTAAAATTTATTTTGTATGCTTTACTTCCCCCCACCAGCGGTAAGGGGTAAAGCATTTAATAATTTTTATTCTTCTTTCTTTATTAAGGTTTTACTTCCCCCCCACCAGCGGTAAGGGGTAAAACTTTTTTAAATAAAACGTGAATTAATAGACTGCTAAATAAAAAAAATGCGACTGCAAAACTATTGGGGCATATTCGTAGACGAAATAAAGACGACTCTGAAGTTAAAGCTTGTGAACCTCAAATAAGAAGGAAGTTATTATATGTATGTTATAGTATGTGCATGTGTAAGAACGTTATCAATAAATTATTTCGAGGTTGTTTAGGTATGTATGTACACATAAGTAAATAGAGGGGAACGTTATCAATGCATATATGATTTTACATATGTAGCGCATTTGTAAGTACATAAATACATCCGTATGCGCATGCGTGAGAAATAAAGTCGACTCTAAACTTACATAGTTGCAGCTTTTTACAGATATTCTATTGAAACTTAAGTCAAAAATCTGTAACTAACTTTAGTGTCGACTTTATTTTGAATATGAATATGCCCCATTAATTACATATAATACGAGTATTGCAGTGGAAAATGACCATGCAACACATTTGCTCAAAATAAATGTTCATAAAACTCAAAAATAACTTTTCTAGAAAACACCTTGAAGTTAACAAGTGCATTGCATTTGTACGTTTTTTTGTCAATGTGTCCATGTTTAAAGTGAAATTGTGAAAGAACTAAAGCAGCTGGAAAATTGTGGTTCGTTGCATTATATGTAAATAGCATAGCAGCTACCATAAGAAAAAAAATAGAGTTTTTCGACCAAAAGCCGACAAAAAATCACCACAGAGTTTGCCAATTTGCATGTGTACATAATTTTCATAAGGTTTGCGTATGTATGTATGTTTCTTCGAACAAGAATTTTCCTATAACTTAATACAATATAAACAATTTTCATATTTTTTTTAATTAATCAAAACTATTAATATGAATTATTTACCAATTTTAAAATTATTTTCAACTAAAATGCATTTTTACTACCTATTTATTATATACATATATTATATATATTACTATATATTTACTATATACTCATACAAAAAGTGAACTTGAACACATGCTTTTTGAGTTTTTGGTTTTTTTTATGTCGTTAAAGGAATATTAACTACTCAATAAATTATATTTAACAAATGGTCATGCATATATGAAGATCCGAAATGCTAACTGATATAAAAATACAATTCATATAATTTAACTTTTAATTTATTTAATTTTATAAAAACATATAAATGAATATGTTTCTGCATTCACCAGCAACCTAGCAACACAGCCAGGAACTTGCAACAAAACATTATCATAACAGAATATTTACGTTTTTATACCCGAGCGCACTTGTGCACAAGGGTATTATAACTTTGTTCACATAACGGTTGTTTGTAACAGGCAAAACGAATCGAGATAGATATAGACAAATGTATACATAAATGATTAGAATGAAAAGAGAAATCGATTAAGCGGTGACTGTCTGTCCGTCCGTCCGTCCGTCCATCCGTCTGTGCACACGATAACTCGAGTAAAAATTGAGATATCTCAACGAAACTTGGTACGTGCACTTCTTTCTGCCGTAGGACGGATGGTATTGAAAATGGGCAAAATCGGACAATAACCACGCCTACCTTCCATATAACGGTAATTTTCAGAAATACGAAAACTGCGATATTTTAGTAACTACTGAAGAAAATTCACTCAAAATTGATATTTACAATAAGCTTTAGACGAGAAATAAGAATATTATAAATTTTTGGAAAATGAGCGTAACCACGCCCACTTATGGTTACATGTGTATATCTTGGTAACCGCTGCACCAATTTCTTCCAAACTTGGCACAATTGGTGGCCTTGACATAACCTACTAAATGGCCGAAAATTTTTAAAATCGGACAATAACCACGCCCATATCACATATAACGGAAATTTAGAGAAATACGAAATCTTCGATAAATCGGTAAATGTTGAAGCTAGTGTATTCAAAATTGATGCTTGCAACAATTCTTTACCAAGAAATACGTTTATGATAAAATTTTGGAAAATGGGCGTGGCAGCGCCCACTTATGATCATATATATATATCTCGGTAACCGTTCTACCAATTTGTACCAAACTCGGTGTGGTATACATATATATGTATACATGCATACGTGCATTCAAACATACATATATACATATGTAGGTACTCGTACCCGTCATGCGTCGCTTTATTTCTTTTTTCCCCTTCCCTATACTACCTATATCTTCCTTTTCACTCATGTAACGTTTTCAGTTTTAAAAATTTCACTCTCCGTTTTTGCGATACCGCCGCCTAAGAAGTTTCACTTCAAAAAATTTAAATTCATAAAGGCTACCTCAACAATAATTGTTATTTGTGATAAACAAAAAGATAAACGTATTTTTTTATTTAAAAATAAGTTTTTTTCGATGTCGCGCTGGTCGGTTTTTTTATAAAAACGCTGACGTTTTAATTTTTTTTATTTTCATGACATGTTAAAGTGCAGCTAAAAGGGTTGTTTTACATGTAATTCCTTTGGTATTATTGGGGAACATTCTCTTAATTATATACCTGTCTTGGACAGTTAGAATGCGCCTAGTGCCCGAAAATATGCTTTCGAAATGAAACTACTAAAATTAAAACGTTGATTCTGGACGATCAAAGCATTGTCATGGGTTGGAACTTGTTTCCGGGGGGTTTCTGAGGTTGCTAATTAAGAATCTGAAGTCAGTTTTTCAAAATTCAAAATGGCGTATCCAAAATGGCGATCCATTCTTTAAAAAATGATTGAATTCGTTCGAAACTCGGCACTCAGGAGTTTTTGGGGCCGCTGATTACAACTCTGAAGTCAATTTTTAAAATTCAAAATTGGGGACCCAATATGGCTATCAAATTCTTAAAAAATTACTGAAACTAAAAAGTTGATACTGAACGTTTTAAGCATTGTCATGGGTTGAAACTCGTTACCAATGGGTTTCTATGGTTTATGATTACGAATTTTATGTTAGATTTTTAAAATTCAAAATGGCGGATCCGAGTTTCAAACAAATCCAATCATTTTTTTTAAGTTGATCGCCATATTGGATCCGCCATTTTT